TTTTTTTTTTTTTGTTGTTTTTTTTTTTTTTTTTTTTTTTTTTTTGGTTTTTCGAGACAGGGTTTCTCTGTGGCTTTGGAGGCTTTCTTGGAACTGGCTCTTGTAGACCAGGCTGGTCTTGAACTCACAGAGATCCGCTTGCCTCTGCCTCCCGGATTAAAGGTGTGCGCCACCAACGCCCAGCTCCTTTGCAACTTTTAAAGATCTAATTAACCCCCCAGTTTCCATATATTGCAAACATTCTAAGTTTTCCCATTGCTTCTGGTGTCTTGTTCTGATATTTAGGAATGACTTTAAGAGATCAGTAAGCCTTTATTCATCTTTCTACAATTAATATAACCCTTAGCATAAATCTGTATACTGCTAAAGACTGGAGGATTGTGGAGAAGTCAGCATTTGTGGTTCCATGAATCCCTTTAGCTGATGGATATTTGGAGTCTGCTGTGTGCACAGGGTTTGTCATGAACCAGGTGCTCCTGAATGAATGAATGAGTGCTTGTGAATGAGCAAGCTCATGCATGAATGGGTGTGTGAAATAAAGCTGAGCTGGAGCTAGGCTCTTTAGAATGAAGAACATCGTTGTGGAAGAAGTGGACTATGATTGTTATTTTAAAGGGTGGATAATCAATTTTATAGATTGAGGAGAAAAGGAAAAGCTTGATGATAGTTGGCAGGTGAAGGCTCTCAAATGCTCAAAATGGGTTTTTTCATGAGCAGATATTGGTATGTTGAAACTGCGGATGATGAACTCAGGTGAAGAGACCATGGGATTTGGAGTTTAGAGCTTGACAGTACAGGTAATTGAAGACTATAAGTAGCTGCAAATGACCATTATAAGCTCCAAATGATTTCACAAATAACTGAGTATGTTTGGGTTTGATCCAGTCACAAACAAGTTTTAGTATATGCTACATTGATTTGAAATGTTGCCTTGCTTACCATATAGTAGACATTAGTACTAATAGTATTCATATTAATAGAATGCAGCTCAATCAATATTGTCTTAAGACTTCAAACAAACAATTAATTTAGAACCTCTGTTAATGAAATTTCTCTATTTAATAATTGCTTAAGTAGGACTTGCTATTTATAAAGCCCTGTACTTTGAACTTTGTTTCTGGATTAATCAGACAGGATAATAAAAAAAAGTCTAGTTGCAAATTAATTTGATAATGATCCAGTACATGCCAGACACTATGCTGAGTGCTGGGCTTCAAACATATCTGAATCCATTTTGTGTTACTTTAAGAGAATATTTGAAGCTGAGTGATTTATAAAAAAAAAAAATGGGTTTATGTGGTTCATAGTTTTAGTTGTCACAGGGTCCTAGTAGCATAGTCCTGTGGTCTGTTACAAGTCTCTGAAGTGCTACTGTGTCACATTCTGGTAGGTAGGTATGCATGAGTGGGGCAGGGAAGGCCATGTCATGAGAGGGAGCAATAGAACCAGTTGACAAAGCCAAGCTGGCTTTTCAAGAATCTGTTTTTCAGTTGTGCAGTCCAGTTGCACAAGACTTAACTTCATGAGAGTTGGAGATTGACCCCCCCCTTTGAGGTGCCCTTCAGTGTCTTTCCCCTTTCATAGCATGTAAAGCATTGTCTCTCAACCTGTGGGTCATGGTCCCTTTGTGGGAGTCACATGTCAGCTGTCCTGCATGGCACATATTTACATCACGATTCAGGACAGTAGCAAGATTACAGTTATGAAGAAGCAATGAAATAATTTATGTTTGGAGGTCACCATGACCTGAAAAACTGTATTAAGGCATGGCAGCTTTAGGAAGGTTAAGAACCACTGACGTAGGGGTTCCACTGCCTCTAGATTGCCAATCTTAGAGCTCAAGCTTCCTGCAAACAAACTTTTGTGGGGATAAAACACATATAAAGTGTGGCAAACCATGAGTGAACCAGTCTTTGTTGAGGTTTAGAGACTTTGTGGATAGACAGGAACTAGCCAGTGAGGACTGCCTAGGCTGGGTTGAGGCAATATCTGTCAAGGGAGGATAGCAAAGGGCACTGGGCCCAGAGTTGGCATGGGGCAGAGAGGGGAGGCTGTCTAAAGGATTCTTCTTCTGATTTGACCAAGAAGTAGGAGTCCAGGATGGATGGCTAGGAACATGGGCCTTTGAGAAAGGCTCAGAGGATGAAAAGAATGCTCTGGGGAATGAGAGTGGCATAGACTGTGGACATGAGTGCACATATTTGAGTAACTGAAGAAGAGTTCCATGACAAATAGCCAACACTTATGGGGATGTTTAGTAAGTGTCATACTTCAGGGATACAGCCCTAAGATTTTGTAGCAGTGAGAGGAAAGATTACCTGTGTCTGGAGAGGGAAGACTTCCTGAGAGTGTATCTAGCTATGCCTGAAGCGATGAGTAGATGACAGTAAGTGGGGATCGTGGCTTCCTGGCATTAGCGAAGGCTGTGAGAAGGGCTGGGGTCTCGAATTCCTGATTCACAAACCTCGACTCAGTCATGGAGGCAGAAGGAAGGAGACTTCAACAAGTTGTTTTGATGGCTTGGAGAAATTTAGACTTCAGTTTTGTTATTGTATTTTTTTTTTTTTAAACCAAGTAAGTGTGGGCTAGTATTTTACTCAAACTGCCATCTCCCTTAACAGCATAAGTAAGGCTGTAATTACATCATGCTTGCAGGGTTGCAATAGAAATCATGAGAAAATGCTAATGAAAATACTTCCTAATCTCTAACGCAGGGTGCGGATAAAAGGTAAATGGCACTGTGAGATGATTGCCTTTGTTGCAGTTGTTTTCTTCACTAGGAAATCAAGTAGTTTCTGTTTCTTCTTAAAATTAGGAAGAAACAGTATGCTTTGTGTTGTAGAGAAATAGCATTTTTTTTTTTTTTAGCAAAACTCTGAAATTATACTTTTATAATTGCTTTCCCCCCTTAAAACTTGATAGGTTGTCATGTGCTACACTACCTGTGTGTGTGTGTGTGTGTGTGTGTGTGTGTATTCTGATTTGAAAGCATCCTTTTTCCTTCTATCATTGAAATGGTGTTACATATATATATATATATCTATATATATATATCTATCTATATCTATCTATCTATCTATCTATCTATCTATCTATCTATCTATCTATATATATATATCTGTAGTCTGAAACCATCCTGTTTTCTCAAGGAAAGCTGGGTTGAGAGGGAAAGTTCAGCAAATAACTCTTTCAGAACCAAATCAGGTCAACTGTTGGGCAACAGCTGGCCTTTGCTGTATAACCAACAGAACCTTGGAGACATACAACAATAAACGTTCAGTCCCCTACAGTGGGTTACCTAAGCTGTCTGCTTAGCATGGCTAGACTTGTTCAGTTGGTAGGGGCAGCTGACTGGTTTGTCACTCTAGGCTGGAAGACCTGGGATGTTTGTGTGTCCTGTGTCCTCCACTTTCTAGCCTGAGAAGAGTTTCAGGAAGTAAGGTGGAAAGGACAGGAGAGTTGTGGGAGAGCAAGGTCCAGTTGACAGTCCTGTTTTTCTTTAGGGCTCTACAGTTAAAATCCTGCTGATGGCAAGGTAGGAGCCCATAGTCAGCAGTTAACTACTTATATAGAGGTGAAGGTCTTGGGTAAAATTTAATGAATTAGTCCCCTTCCCCCTTCAGTTTCTTCATGTTAGTGCAAAGCCTTTCTATGTAGCTTGATTAAAGCCAAGTTAAACTATTTCATTCCATTTTTAAAGTCTGTAGGTGTGGATAATTTAGATGTTTGCCAGAGTGTCAGCCTTACTGTTCTGTCCATCATGGAGGCCACCACTACCATACCTTTCTTCCTGGTCTGTGGGGGTCACCAGCACCCATGCGTCTCTACTGATTAATTCTTCATAGCTGGGTTGCTCATTTTCACCTGGCCTGTTGGGCTCATATGTTTGTCCTTTTTTACAATTTTAATTCTTAGTAGGATTGCAGATTCAGCTCTGTGGAGCCCATCAAGTGACACACTGTGTGCAGCAGGTGTGGTGGAGAGGGGGGCAAACAGGAAGGTGTGAGTCTGCCTAGAGTGCCATGTACATCACAGTTCTTGATGTTGGCAGAGTTTTTGATCCCCCCCCCCCCACAGAAAACTGGAAATTGGAATTTTCACGTGAAGTCTCTTGTTTTTAGATTCATGTTTTACAATGACCTAGTTATTCCAAATAGACATTTGTCAGCCGGGTTTGTTCTGTAGTCCTCCAGATTACATTGTCTGAATTAAACAAAATGATGTCAGAGACTCAGGGGTCCAGTTGTCACCTGTGCCAATCTTTTGTTCAACCAATCTGGGTCAGTATGGACATAATAGTTGTTGCCTGTTCTCTCACAGGGTTTAATTCTGGTTGTTATTTTGGGAATGACTGTGCTATTTCCCTGTTTTATCAGGTAATAAATACAAGAGTATGAACATTGGCCTCAACACAAGTAACAATATAGCCATTGCCATTTCTCTTGAAGTTTTCTCTGTCTTTTGGCTGATGGTTTCAGGGCATCATGGTGGCAGGGTTTGGTGAACAGAGATGTCCAACTCATTGATGTCAGGGAGCAGGGGTGGAACTGGGACAGACATAGCCCTCAAGGTCATTCTGTGAGT